ATACATACATACATACATACACGCTCTCCCGAAGCTCCAGGCAGCCACCGGAAGAGATGTTACCAGCTGAGACACTTTCATGGTTTCTCGTTTTCTCAGCATGCATGCAGAGAGACGAGTGTTCACCTGTCTTCAAGGATCGGCCCCTGAGCAGAAATCCCTTGGTCTTCAAGTTTCAGCCTTAGTGTCAGCTCCGGTGTTCCTTGTGCAAATGTGGTGAGCCTTTCTGTGAAAGGTTCAAGCTGGGGAGCGCTGCCATCTTTTCGGGGACGATGCTGATCAGGCCCAAGGGCTTGGCCAAAGCCCTTGCAGAGCCCTTGTGCCGCCCTGGCCGGGCAGCCGCTTTGCAGGGGACCTTTGGGCACCATCTTCCGGGAAGACTGCGCAGAGGACATTGAAGTCCGACCCACTGAGGCCACGAGATGCACGGAAAAGCAGCTGGTAGAAGCGTGTGCAAACATGCGCAGTATGGCGCCAGAGGTGTTTGGAACAGGGCAAATGCTGCCGGAAGAGTGCGCTCGGCATTCAATCTGATTCTGAGGCTTGCAGATGCCGTGCAAACGCCAAGGTATGCAGTTTGGCCACAGGGTGTCGAGATAGTCAGCTGCAGAGGTGAAGGACCAGATGCAAGGACCCGTTCGTGATCGTTCCTACAGCTGATGTCGTGCAGCTGAATACTGTCTGCCAGCATGTCTTGCAGGATAGTGATCGATCCTGGAGTTACGGACGGTGCGCAGTAGAGTTGTTCGAATCTGGAATCGCAGAGTGAGTTGGTCAGTTGTAAGATGGCGTGGTTGGGTGCAACCGCCGCGAGCATTCAGGCTTATTGTTCGAGGTCTTCTACCCGATTCGTGTGGCCGTCTTGCACAATCCAGTCGTGCAGCCTATCGACAACAGGCATCACCGAACGTGCGAGCCCCGTGAGTTCAGTAGCTTTCCTCCACCAGGTGGACTTTGGACTTCAACGGAGAGTCCTCCGACCCTTTTGATGGCTACATGTTATGGACATTCACCAGGAAATGAAGTTTTGCCTGCTGCCTTGGTGACATCAGTGCGCATGAGATGCCCCTTCCTCGAAAGATTGGGTATCTTGGCAGCCGCAGGACATCGCTGCTGACTGCGACGATGGGCCGCTCGACAACGGTGACAGGTGACCCCTTCTTGTCAAATCCTGCCGCGAGCCCAGCTCACGAGGCTTTTGTCGAAGCCACAGAAAAGCGCGCCGATGATGTCGCTGGCAACCAGGTGACTTTCACATTCCGTCCGAAAAACACTGTCAAAGGTGCTGCCTGCTTCCAATTGCCCTCTCGGATCGTTGATGCTCTCTCAGCACTGTCTGCGCATCAACAAACAGACCCTGCCAGGCGCTGGCATGATCATCAGGGTGCGTGCTGCCATGATTTGCGTTCGTGGTTTGTGCTGGATTCGTTGTGCATCATTATCTGAGAAGACGTTCTGCCAGCTGTTTACATGCTCTAGAAGTGTTTGTCCATCAACTACACAATGCATTGAGCTTGACTTTGATAGCACAGAGTTACAATAGGCCTTGTTGCAGACGAATGCTTGTGTGGTCAAGATCGCAAGGAGCCTCAGTGCAATGCAAATACAAAGTTGTGCAGCTCTGAAGGTGCAAGCACACTTGTAACTGAAAGCAGCATAATTGATGCCTCAGTGTACGGTGGCGTCCGAGTCTCAGAGAAGTTATATAAGCCGGTGAAGTGTTTTAGGCAGAGAGATGTCGCTTGGAGGCCGACCCTGCACCCCGGAAGTCTTCATGTAGGCCCGTCCATCCCGTGGTGGGCTAAGCACGAGCTTCAGCGATGAGAGCTAGTGAGGTTCCTTGATGCTTTTGCCGATGCATTTGGCTCAAGAGGACGGGTTCTGAGCTCGGCAAACCCTCCAGCTCGATCCCCTTCCATTTCCATTCTCAAGGCACGTGTTGGCATGCATCAACTCAGTGCTCATGAATGCCTCCTCAGGTCAGCGATAGGGGTGCTATGTCGAGTCTTTTGAGGAAGTGCCTGGCAGCAGGCCCGGATGGATAGATTCTTGCAATGCTTTTGCAGCCTCTGAAGTGGCTTAAGCCTGGCCCGAAGGCATTTTGTTGGAGCCTCTGGCGATGGACCTGACTTGTGTCACTTCAGGCGGCACCGCCACTGCAAGGGGTTGAAATTAGCACATCTAGCTGAGCCCTTCACACTGGTAGTTGAATTGTACCGATATCGGTGAAGCCCGATGCGGAGGACACGCCATGAGCGAGGATGTCATTGAACAGTGCGAGACTGATTTGTTGGACGCCCAGGAGGCGTGGATCCTGTAGCTATGTCTTCTCTGCCGTATGTATTGCTGTATGTATGCATCATGATTGTTTGAACCAAATGTAAGTATTGCAGGTTTGGTAGGTACTTAATGTATTGTGTTTTCTTCATGCACTGTACTTTGTATGTATTGTACACATTGCATGTGTTGTATATACTGAAGGTATTGTGTGCATGTGCATGCATGTGTATGCACGCATGCATGTATGTGCTCATGGTCTGTTACTCGTATGCATTCGTGCCGGTATCGTTTTGTGTCTAATAGTGGACACACCCATCTATAATTTCATATATGTATATATATAGAACAACACATACACATGCACTTATGTACACACACATATATATACATATAT